CTGGATAATAAGGGTCTCCAAAGCAGCTAGAGTCATGGTTTTTAGAACCGGATCGGTTAGCGAACCGGTCATGCTACCGGTTCATTAGTTCAACAGGTCGAATCGATCCGACCGATCGAAAGAATCGGACGACGTCATAATTATTTAAAAAATTAAATAAAAATACAAAAAATATTTAATAAAAAATAATTTTTTATATCACAAGTCATATTCAAAGCAAGTCATAACATATATAAGTTAAAAACCATAAAATCAAGTGAAACAAAATGATTCAAATTAACTACAACATAATATTTAATGTAAAACATATTAAATAATAAATATAATTACATAACTATAATTAAAAAATAAATTTGAGGTTAAAAAAATCATAACAAAATGATATTGTTTGGTTTAATTTTTTTTTTAAAAAACAATCTCAAATGGCTAAGAAACATAAAAGAGCATCCCAAAAGTCTAAAGAGTAAAAATATGAGAACAAAACAATCTCACATTGCTAAGAAACATAGAAGCGCATCACAACTAACTTCTATAAATAATAGAGGTAATTTGGCATTCAAAATCATGGAGCCTTTGGTGAGCATTGAGTGAACTATTCTTTCACTTCAATCAAGCTCAAATTTTAGGCTTCAATCGAGCTTCTAATTTTTTTTTTGAGTTCAAGCCTTTTTGAGTTCAAGTTTCAATATTATATTTCGAGTTTGAGTTGAACTTGATAATTTTTAGCTTATGAGTTTGAGTTGAGTTGAGCTTACTTTTAAAGTTTTTAAGTTCGAGTCGAGCTCAGCAATACTCGAGTTCGACTTGGCTCGTTTAACAAACGACGTTGTTTGGTTTAATTTAAAAAAAAAATTCCGGGTTTTCCCTATTTTTCTCGGTTTTTTCCGATTTTCAGCCGGTCCGGTTCGAACGGTACAGCGGTTCTGGCCGATTCACTAATAGCGGTTCAACCGGTTTAGATTAAACTGGACGAAGCAACGGTTTCCGGTTGAATCGATTGAACCGACCGGTCCAATCCAATTTTCAAAACAGAGGCTAGAGTACGATATTTTTATTTTTTTAATAAAAGAATACTCTCCTAAAAATCGAGTGAACTGTGATGTTTAATTTCAAAAGAATTAAGCCTATACCTACATGGACAATGAGGTGAACTGTTAAGTAAAACCCTAACTTGTCTTAGAAATAATGAGTAAGTTTCAACGAATAAAAGGAGTAGAACATAAATGATAGTATCTTGCTAAGGTTTACCCTGAGAGATAATGCTTTAGCATTATTCGGTTAGGTTTTTGTTATAGATAATTTAGAAGCAACTTAGAAAATTTTGTCGAGCATAATATCATATTCATTAAGGATAAGACATAGGATCTCAAGGTAAACATAGTCATTTAGCCTTGTTGGTAGTTTCATTTGTGTGAGGTCGAATTGTGGTCTTATTTGTGCAACTTTTCTCAATTTACAGTTTTGTTACATCATTTCTCATTTAATCTTTGCTACAACATTTTCTTATAATTGATACTTTTTCAATTACAGTGTGCATCTTATTTTAGTTTGTTTATATGCAAGTTCACGATCTTTACTCGAAATCACTATAATCCTCGTGGGAACAATTACTCACTCACTCTTTATTACTTGTGCGAAAATTAGCACACTATCACACGTAATATTAATTTTGATGTTGGTTATCAATCATATGTATTTTTTATTGTCATTTCATTTTCTTATATTGTATATTTATTCTATTTTTATTTTTTTTATCTTTAATAAGTCTTCCTTTATGACAAGTTTTTATATGCCTTTTATGTCATGTTTTTTTAGTTGTGTGATTGTTATTATGTTGATCTTCATTGTTTTGGACCTTCAAATTGGATTTGGATATTCAATTTGCATGCATGATTTATTCTATTTGTATCTATCTTTGTTCGAGTTTTTTTATTAAATTTTTAATATTTCTTTGTATGGTTCTTATGTAATTTTAAACGATTACTTTTTGTGTAAATAATTATACGAAATTATCCTAATTATATTCTTGCTTCACAATTATAGTTGTAAGTTTTCATTGTAAGTCATAGTATTTCATTTTTTTAATAAAACTAACGAATCTATAAAAAAGAATATCATAACTCAAAATTAAATTTGAATTTTTGTAGCTTTAGAAAAATCGAGACAATACATAATTAATAAAATATTAATTTTGTGTGTTGTGAAAAAGTCGAAACCTCTCTCTCCTTATATATATTTATTTTTTTCTCTAATTGTTCGGAGACTTTCAAAGTTATATTTATCAAAAATAAAAAACACGTATTTCTGAAAATTTTATCATCAAGTTTTATACAGTTGAAGGGGACAAAAGATTCGAATCCTTAACAATAATTAAGGGGGTGAAGCGTGAAGAAAATTGATTAGTGACTGAATGGACAGTTTGGAAATTATAAAAATAATAAGAGTGTTTGGTTAGGGAATGTGAGATTGCTATTAGAATAAAATTTATATTCTCTCGTTTGGTGTCATTCTCGGTAATTTTACATTATTAATAGTAAATTTTTTGGGTATATTATCGGGAATGTCATTACATCTCTTTCCTTAGGTATTGTTGATTACCGATGTTTTGGACTAAAATGCTCTTAAAATTATTTTTTTTTCAAAAATATTCTTATTCTGTCATTGAATAATAAAAATTTTACGAATGTTAAATTATAAATTTATCCTTAAATTATTTTAGATTTATAAAAAAAATCTATAATTAAAATTGTATATGAAGTTCAGGAGTTAAAATAAAATTTTACCCTTTCATTAAACATTTTTATATTTTCAATTTTGTAAAAAAATTATATAAATTTTATGAATTTAATTTTTTTTAAAAAAATATATAAATATTTTTTAACTTGTTAAAAAAATAAATATATAATAAAGATAATTTGGTTAAATATATATTCTAATAATCTTTTATTCTTTTAACCAAACACGGTAATCTTACATTCTTGCTAAACAAACTAAACACAAAATACAACATTCCCAGTAATCCTATTCTCTGATAATCTTTTATTCATACTGATAATTTTATATTTCATGAACCAAACACACTCCAATTATATAATTAGTGAATTGCAGCTTTAAAATCCTATTTTTACTGAGAAATTAATTATTGCTTTTGAATTAATGAATGAATGTTAGTAGCGGCAGTGGAAGCTGAGCTCAGTAGTTAATGCCTTTTGGCGGTCCATTTATTAACTAATATTTTTATTCATTAAAAATAAAGCTGTTTCCTTTTATTTTACAACCAACACATTGAAATATGTTACTTATTTTACAAGCCAATTCTTCTTTAAAAATAATTATTGAACTGTAATGGGATTTTAAAAAATTTTATCTAGATTAGTCTATTAATAAATTAGATATCAATGATTAATTAAAAAAATAATATCAAGACATTGCAAAAGTAATTGCTTACTTAATATGATAATTATTATCTTAATAATTGTTAAGTTACACATTAATGATAGTATTTTTTTATAATTTCATAAGAATAAACACAATTTCTTTAAATTTATATAAATTGAAGGGTAAATTATGTTGATAGTCTCCTATGTTTTCGGTCTGATTAATTTTTGTTAAAAAAAAATTAAGGGGAAATGGTCACTCACGCCATCAATCCTTCCGATTTAAGTCCCTAACATTATCGATTTGTACGATTTTAGTCCATAACGTTATCAGCCCATTCGATTTTAGTAATTCAACTATGTTAGTGACTTCAACAAAAGGGACTTAAAATAAAAGGGTTTAAACAAAATTAATAGCATAGAAATTTAAAATGGACGGACCGATAATGTAAGATACCATTTTCTCTTAATTTTTTTCGGTGGCCAAAATCGATCAGACCGATAATAAAAAGGACTATCGACATAGTTTATCCTAAATTGAATTATGTGAATAAAGCTTTTATTGACTAACCCTAGTCACCTCTCATTTCTTTCTTTTAACCTAATTTTCTTTTAATATTTTATGTCATATTTTTTTCTCTTTGATTTTTGTTTAGTCGGTTGCGACACTCATCTTATTGTTGATTGTCGATCGTCAGTGACTATTGGTTTATATAAATATATATATATATATATATATATTATGTCTTTTACTATTTTTTGCTTGAGTTTTTTTTAAAATTTTGAATAAGATTCTCTATCCTTGTAATATGAGTTTTTTCTGTTTTTGTGACATGTGTTTTCTCTGCTCTTATGGCACGATTCCATGGTTATTAGAACGTTTTTCGCATGCCTTTGCGGTCGTTTTGATTCTCGTACAAAAATCATCACGACATTTATTTTTTGATTTGGTCAGTTGATGTTTAAGTATAATTAAATCCCCTCTTTTGGTAAAAGGTTGTTGGTTGATTTAATCAAATTGTGTAACTAAAGAGGATGTCAGATTATTTAATTCACTCTTTAGTTCTTTATCACTTCATCAAGCGTTTCATTCGACAGGAATAATAATTTTTATGAAGATTATTGAATTTTGATGTTGATCATCATTTTCATTAGAAGGTTTTAATTTTTTTCTTAATTTTAGTTTTAATTTTTATTTTTGTACGAATATTTTAATAATTATTGTTTCTAAATTTATCTTTATATTTTGATAAGTTATAAATTTGATTGGTTTCATTATTAATAAAATCATGTTACCATTTCTAAAATAAATAAATAAAATCTGTGATGATTGCTAATTAGGCGGACCCACACTTCCACTTCCTCACCTATGTTTCGAAAGATTCCCCATTTTAATAAATATTTTCGAAGACTGCCCCAAACGGCAGCGTTTCCTATCACCTGATTTCACCGCCAGCTTACTGCTTACCCAACCTCACCACCAATCACAATTTGTCGATTCGTGTCACAGACAGTGACTGTATCACTCGCGTCTTAAGCATGTAGGATGTACTATAAATAATTGAATTAGTGTATTTCCATACAAAACCCATAGGCCATAGCTAGCTGAGGGCAGGAGCTTCCTTTTCTTCCCCAGCTTGTTTCCAGTTTCCCACTTTTCCTATCTATTAATCGTACACAAAACCTTTCTCTTTATATAATTTAATCCCATTGTTCTTCATAGAATATATATTTTCTGTTGTTGATTATACTTTAATGGGGTTCCCGGTTGGTTACACCGAAGTTTTCTTGCCAAAACTCTTGTATCACACACTTTCCTTTCTGGGTTTCATCCGAAATCTGATTTTCACGCTTTTGAACTTCCTCGGCCTTCCCGACTTTCTGGAAACAGACCCGGTCTGGCCGGACAACCCGACCCGAACATCGCCGGAGAATCCCCCCGTATCGGCTCTCTTGATCCGGGAAATCCTTCCGGTCATAAAGTTCGAGGAGCTTGTCGTCGTGGGGGACCCACCGGAGAGCTGTGTCGTTTGTCTGTACGAGTTCGAAGGAGGGGAAGAGATCAGATGGTTGAGGAACTGCAGGCACGTTTTCCATAGGGCGTGTTTGGACCGTTGGATGGACCATGACCAGAAAACGTGCCCGCTGTGTAGAACGCCGTTCGTGCCGGATGAGTTGCAGGACGAGTTTAATCAACGGCTCTGGGCTGCTTCCGGGGTTGCTGATGTTTACACCGACTACAGTTCGGTTCCGGGATTGTAGATTTTTTTGCATGGCCGACAAAGAATGGTGCCCTCTTGTCCCCCCCTCGGAATAGTGTTCCTTTTTTCTTTCCGGTAATAAGCTTATGAAAATTGTACATATTGCATGGCAATTGGAGCACGACCAATAAAAATGGAGGAATTGAAGTTTGAACGTTGCAATTATGCTTTGTTTGATGAACCTGTAATTATCCCCACACCATAAGATTAGTGAGACTGAATTTCAATTTTTATGTTAGATGAAAGAGCTGAAGCTTTGTACTTTAACAGTGGGATCATATCATCAAAGGTGATATAGCTTAATTACAGTATAAGCTTTGAGAATATAAACTATATTAAAGAGAATTTTTGAAAAGTTCTAGCATTATATATACAAACTATGACAGTGATGAATTATTGATAGGGAGAGTGATCGTATTCCAAAGACGATGATTGATCTTATTAAGAAGAAGAAGAATTTGAGTTTGAGTTGCATAAATATTTAACAGGGTGGTGATGGTCTGACAGCGGTGGCATTCATTATTTGGGTTTGGTTATAGTGAAGTTGGGTTCTGTGCTCGACACATCTTTTTCTCAGGTACTGTTTAATAGCAAAAAAGGGCTTAAATTCAAACTAGGCTGTGCAACATCGACGTAGAAAATAATCTGAAGTTCTGAATCGGTCCCCGTTGGTTGCCTCAACCCTAGGGTCCCCTGCCTGCGATCTTCTATTCCCTGTATACAACACAGAAACATCATAAAAGTTAAATGGGTCCCAAGTGAACCTAACTTTCTTTATCTCAACCCTTTTGTTAAAGAAAATGGACCCATAAAAAAGATTAAAGTGACGTGATCGGTGCAGATTTTACTGTTCAATGGGAAAGAGAATAGGGTTTTGTGTGTGTGTGTGTAGAGGAATTGGGCATTTGGGCTAAATAAAACTTCGGTTTTTTTGTCCATTAGATTAGGCGAAAAAATTAATTGGTCCAATAGTTAATTCAGAATTTATTTTGTAATCTACTGTAAGGGTTACAGTACATGATAAATTTATCTCATCGACGTGATGGGTCTATTTAAATAATATTTTTTATTTAAATTTATTATCTCGAAGTGATGAGTTTTAATAAAATATATTTTTTTATTAAAATTTATTATATTAGGAAAAAAATTAAATAAAAATATTTTTTTTATTGAAACTGATCATCTCAAGATGAAGTATTCTCATATACTATAGTATTTGCCGTAGATTATAAAATAAAATTTAAATGATCCTATTGAGTCAAAATTTTTATGCCCTCGTATTGGGTCAAAAAAACCTAAAACTTCATACAAGTTAGGTATATAGCCCAATATGTTGATAAACTGAGAGTCCAATTGGGTTTTATTGGGGTCATTTGAAAGAGATTACAGTGACGGGTCTACTACTTTTGTGAGAGCGAATATTGAAATATATATTTTTTAAGTTTATTTATTTTATTAATGATGTTAATTATAAAAATTATTTATGATTAATTTATTTAAAAATTTATATTGTTAGTATGTATATTTATCTTGAAAAATAAATTTGGATCCGTCATTAATTACACACTCAAATTGAAAGATTGCTATAAAACGGAAGATTCTCAAAAATTTTAAACCAGTCAAATTAAAAGGCTAAAGATGACTCGGAAAATATAAAACGCTCATCGGCATACGGCGAACTATACCGGAATCAAGTTTGACCACAGGGAGAAATTAACTTTGACCAAACAAAATAAAACTGTGCTAGAAATAAGATTTATGATACGGCAGGCAAACGCAGCACGATTTTGAACAAAGATTTTCCTCTCGCCACGTCACCCAATCTTTAAAAGAGCCCATAACAAATCACAGGAGATGATGAAGATTACGAAAATGCCCTACATATTCAGACATTGACTAATCATAACCCCTGTTGGTCTAAGCGACTTAAAAACCCTAAAAATCAAAATTAAGAACACAATTACATGAAAAGGGGAGTCGAAGCAAAATACGATAATTTCAACCAAGTTGTACACAGAAGAGAAAATACAAAATCAAAACCCAGACCTTTTTGTTTTTTGTCCCCCCTTCACATTAGGGACTTCAACGATCTTGCTTTAATGGGCTTTCTCATTCGTTTCTTGCCACTGTCCTCATTCTCATCGTCATCGACATAATCAAATTCTTCGTTATCATGGATTTGTGAGGAAGACGACAGCGCCGAATTGTTTTGGGAAGTGATAACGCTTCCGTTGTTTTCGACCTCTTTAGGATCAATGCGATTAATCTTTCTGATTCCCTTTACTTCATCTCCTCCGCGTCTCTTTTTCCCCCACGACGGCCCAAACCCAGAATAATAGTAAAATTCATACGGATTTGACGCTGATGACGAGCCTTTCCTGGATGCTCGTGCTCGTACTTGGCCGCTCACGGTCGGTTGATTGTTGTAATTCTCGGCTTTCTTGCCGACACTGATATAATCCCCACTATCGCCGCTGTTGTTGCAGGATTTCAACGGACATGGCTCTTGATTGGATTCCTTATCCTCTTCATCTTCTTCGCATTGGCTGTCGAACCCAAATTGCTTGGCTGATTTAGTCTCATTGTTGTCGTTATTATCATCGATAGACATGCTTCCCACTTTCGTTTCTGCTTCCTCTTTACTCCCCACAATTGTCGCTACGCTGCGTTTGAGTAATAACGCAACACTTTTCAAGTAACACAAACTGGATTTTCACTTTCAATAACTAGTCAACCCCATTCAAGGGCATCAACAAAACACATTATTCGACTATTTATTTAAACGGATACCAAACTCTAATGCAATACCGCAATGCAAATTGATAAAGGGGGGTCGATCGAAGAATATGAAGTAAATTACCTCTCAACAGCACCGATAGAATCGCCAACACTCCCATTTCCATTAAAGCTATCTTCACATTCGAACTGGGTTATTTCAAAAAAAAAAAAAACCCCAGTAAACTACGCTAGAAAACAAATAAAACCTCGAATCAGGAAATAATACACGGAAACGACGAAGACCCTTTAACCTAAATCGGGTATTTGGAAGAGAAAACACACACGATAACGAGGGGATTTAGGGTTTTGTGAAAACCCTAAATGAAGAAGCCCTAAAAGGAAGCAGAAATGTAGACGAACGGAGGCAATGGTGGAGGAGGAGAAAGCAGATCTACCATAGGGAAACAAACAAGGAGAATAACGGGAGCGAGGAGTTTTACCTGGTGATGAAGATGCGAAGGGTACGGTTCTGGAGATAAAGGAATCGCATCCCATGTCGACTGGTTCAGCCGGCAAACGTGAACACCGTCGGGCCTTGAACCCTGCGTGCATATCAGCGACGACAGCTTCTTGTTCTTTCGAATTCTCATGATCTTATTAGGGTATGGATTTAAATGCTGAGGAGTGAATATAAAAGATAAATAAAACCAGCAAATGGTGTGGAGTAAGAGACAAGGAGAGAAAATAAATATGAAACGAAACTGAAGCCCAGAAAAGGAAAGAAAACCAAAATTATCGAAAAAGGAAGTGTTAATTTATCCCTTCTCAGCCTGTCGCTTCTTCCTTTGGTGGCGATATCGTGGGTTTTATTCTATTTTGCAGATCTCAAAGCCACTGTATAATAAAATTTTGGGTAAACTATCTATTCCGGTCACACGATTATTATTATTTTAAAATTATATTTAATTATACATTTTATTTTTATTTTTATTACTAGTTATTAAAAAATAAATAATGATATTAACATAGTATTCTTAAAACTATTTTTCAATACTATCATGATACTAATTTATGATGACACACTAATATCACTTTTAATTTTTTAATGGAAGAAATTAAAATGTAATATCATATATGATTTAAAAATAATAATAATTTAATAATTAAAATAAAATCAATTAATAGATGATTGACCGAATGAGTAATTTACTTTAAGTTTTTTTTATTGTTTTCTCGATCTTTTTTATTTGTCGTGGCATTCACCATCTCGTCCTTAGGTTTTCTTTTTCTTTGTTTATTTTTTAGTATGACTTGGGATAAATGAATGTTGGCTTACAAGGGATGGGTACGAGACTTGAATTCGATGGGTTTCAATCATATCTGATTATTTTAGGGTTTTAAAAAAATTAGGGTCGGGTCGAGTCAATTTTTAAAAAGGTTATATTCAGGTTAGATTTAGTTTTAGGGTAAAAAATATCTGATCTGATCCGACCTAAAAAAATAATTTTATCTTATATATTTAGGAATAATTACAATAATACCCTTATATGTTATTTTTTCAATTAAACACTATTTTTTTGAATAAAAATAATATTTTTTATTATTTCGGGTCAGGTGGATGGTATATATATTTTGGGTCAGGTCGGGTGAATGGTGTAAAATTTTCGGGTTGGGTCTGGTTAGCCGAAACCCGACACATGTCCATCCCTATCCATTACACGTCAGGAGTTGTCTATTTATTTTGGGAAAACTACGTATTTAGTATTTAAACTATTAATTTTGATCCGTTTTAGTATTGAAACTTTTAATTTTTTTAAAACTAGACCTAACACGCGTTTACCTTTTGTTTCATTTTAGTATCTCATCATCAGAAACTTGACAAATTTAGTACATAAACTATCAGTTTCAATCTCTTCTAACACTTAAACTTTCATTTTTTTTCAAAATTTAGCGTTAAATTTTGAAAAGGGTACTAAAATAAAATAAAAACTAAAAATTGGTATGGTTTTAAAAAATTGAAAGTTTATGTACTAAAATGGATAAAACTAATAGTTTAGGTACTAAATGCATAACTTACCTATTCATTTTTATTTATCTTTAATTTTTATAAAATGAAATTAAACTACTTACCTTATTTTTTTTATTAATTTGAGATAAGTAGAATACAATATTTGTTCAAAGATAAACTTGAAGCGTTTGACATTGAACACTCACACATTTATTTCTTATACTCAAATCTAATACTTCAAGAAATAACAACAATTACTTTACCACTGAGATCGTTTGGTTCATGTAATGAAAAAAATGACTGTCCCTTATTCTCATATGTAAAGGGGTAAGGGGAAACATTTATTTCTTATACTCAAATCTAATACTTCAAGAAATAACAACAATTACTTTACCACTGAGATCGTTTGGTTCATGTAATAAAAAAAATGAATGTCCCTTATTCTCATATGTAAAGGGGTAAGGGGGAGGTAAGTTAGTAGGTTGCCCCCAACACCAAGTTAAAAGCAACTTTCGTAGAAGACCTCCGAATTATGAAATGCCATCCGTGAGACTCGATCCCACAACCTCAAAGTTAAGAACATTGTGCTCTACCATTTGAGTTGTATGGTCATTTCTCATGTAATAAAAATACTTACCATATATTTTCAAGATAAGCGGTAATTTTTTAATAAGATATTCAAATCAATAATCACATACATATGTCCCTTCGTTAAGTTCCTTCCTCCATTAATATCTACGATTCATAAGATAGAATTTAAATTCTTTACTAATATGAAAAGACTTTATCGAAAAGGTAATAACCGTTTACTAATTATTTATCTACCAGTTTCTTAGATAACTTTAAAATAAAGAGTTTTGTTTATACGAATCTTTTATTTCATTTTTAATTCGTTATATATTTGTTTATGGTGTAATTTTATTAAATATTTTACTTCATATTTTTAATATTTAACTAGTGTTCTGTACATTTAAATAGTACTTTAATCTTTAATTTTTTTAATAATATTGTATTTGTGACGTTTCCATGGTTGCATGATTGTTGGTTAAGAGTGAATGAGTTAATAATTAATATTAATAATTTTATCATTTGATTTATAATATATATCTTATCTTAACAAAATATTTTAGTAGGTTAAATTTATGATATAATTTTTATATTTATTTTATTATTTACAGATTTTTTTATAATTTATTTAATAAACTATAAGAAGCAATAAAAATTAGAAGATTTTGAACATATTAAAATTTTAGCATTCGACTAGTCTTAAAACATATTTTAAAGAGTAACGATAGTATGAAAATATAATTATCTATTTTCTAATATATTTAATATACTAATTATATTAATAACATAATAAATATAAAGATGTAATAAATTTTAGATAGTGTAACGAATATTTTATTGAGGACGTCGCACTAAAATTTCATTTGTATGTTAATATACGTCTACCCACCATAAAAAATATTTTTAAATCTGTTATTGGGCGATTGAAATATATAATATTTTCATAAATATTTTTTTATGGTGTCTAGCAAGCAATTTTGTTCTTTAAATTAGTCTAATGTATGTTAGGTTATGGCATCTTAAATTTACTTTTTCCATGGTTCAAGTACTTTCGCCTTTCAAGAACAAATACCCAATACCAAACAGTCCCTCCGAATGGGGTGGCGCGTTTTGACAGATTCCTCTTGCTCGAGCGTGGTCTTTCTTTCGTCTCCTTTTGCTTAAATTGACTCGCACTATGGTTGCAGACTTGCAGTCAATAAGTTGGCATCACAAAAAACAATTTCCATTGAAATCTAAATTAGGGACTTTAGTGAACAGTCACCAAAATCCAAATAGCACTTTTGTGATTTTAATTCCTTTGATTTTAAGTTATCTCCTGGATGCTATTTTTTTTTTTTTTGATAAGTAAATTATATTCCATCCAAAAAAAAGAATACAACTTAACTGCAACTGCAACAATACAGGCAAAAAAACAGCTTTAAAACAGACCTCAACTTATGCAAAGACTCCTATTAACATCATCAATCATATGCATGCAGTGATTATACAATTTGATTTTAACAGATTCCCTGATTCTATTTACAATACAATCAACAGAACGAGAAAGACCTCTGAAGCTTCTGTAGTTGCGTTCCTCCCAGATATAATACAAGAAGGCAGTCCAAGCAAGCTTGAGGATCCGCACACAGAGGGAATTGCCTCTCAAGTTATCAATCAGCCAGTTGAGGCGATCATCCCAACTGAGCATATCAGATCGAAAACCACATGAGCTAAGAACAACATTCCATACTTCCCTGGAGAAAGGACAGTCTGCAAATAGATGGTCTCGAGACTCCAAACCAGTCCCACACACAACACAACCAGCATCCATAGTCAATCCAAACCGAATCAGCCTATCCTTGGTAGAAAGTCTATCAAGGATAGCCATCCAGGAAATAAGGGAAAATTTAGGAATATGGGCAGGGAACCAAATGATCTTGTGCCATCTGACCTTATCCCTACAAATCCGAACCTTATCCCAAATCCACTTGCCTCTAACTAGGTTCCAGTCAACAGAAGGAAAAAACATACACCTCGCCACCTCCATAAGCTTCAAAAGCTTCTTTAGAATCCAGCTAAAGTGGGCTCGGACTTCAGCCTCCCAGAAGCTCACTGTTTTGAAACAATATTCTTGGATCCAGGCAATCCAAAGAGAGCCTTCATTTGCCAAAATGTTTCTAATGAGCATCAGGCAACATCCTTTACTCCACAGGGCAAGGTCCCTAAGACCAAGGCCTCCCTCAGATTTCAAGGAACAAACCTTATGCCAGCCAACACGAATACCTCTGGCAGGGGTATCACAACCTTTCCAAAAAAATCTCATGCAAAGTCTCTCAATGTCGCTGATGATGCCCTTAGGGAGGATGAGCTGCCTGCTCCAATAGTTAAAAATGCTAAATAAAACAGTTTTAACCAATTGCAACCTATCCCCAAAGCTTAAATTCTTGTTGGACCATTGTCTCAGTTTGCCTTTAACCCTCTACAGCAGGGCAGAACAGTCTCTCCCTGTCAACTTACGAGTAACAAGGGGTACTCCAAGGTACCTAACAGGGAGGTAAGCCAGCCTAAACCCAGTAGCTGACTGAATCAAATCAAGGGCATAATCATTCAAGCCACATGCAAAAAATTCAGTTTTCATAGCATTCAACTTGAGTCCAGAAATGTCATAGAAAAGCTCTAGGGTACTTTGCACACCCAACAAAGATTCAAGGACCCATGACAGAAAACTAACAAGTCATCAGCAAAGCTAAGATGAATGAGAGGAATTCTTTTACATTTAGGGTGATATCTGAAAACTCCTTGCTTGGCAGCAACGTTCAGTAGAGAAGATAACACATTCATCACTATGACAAAAAGATAAGGGGAGAGAGGGTCCCCTCTGATTGCTATTATTATTTATTGGTTCTCTGTTAAGAATCGCCACAGAAAGAAAATGGCAGAAAATTCGATTCTTTGCTCCGTTTCTAGCTTGATCATAAGTCTTTTCACTCTCTTTTCTTGTTTATTTGGTCACTGCAATTCAATTGAGCAACCTGGTGACTATAACACCTTCACTATATATAGCTTAAAATACCCAGAAACCCAGATCAGACCTTTTGACATGCGTTATATGCGTGGTACGTAAAACTATTTTTCGCGGTCTGTTTTTAATTAGCCATTTCGGGTCAATTACTTTCTTTTCCCCCCCTTAAAGATTTCGTTACAGACTGCTCTGACTAGTGGGTAGTTGTCAAAATTTTTAACTTCAGCTTAAGCGATTGGATTGCTATTTCTGCTTATTGTTGTTAATTTCTATTTTAGCATTCTTTGATTTTTATCTTAATTGTCTATTGTAATGATGGAAGCAAGATATTAGAATTCTCAGTCAAATTTGATTGTGGGTTTAAGTTTTCTTTCTTTTAACTAAAGTATTATGTCATATTTAATTGTAATTTTGCTGCAGTAGGACTAAGTTAAATTAGCTGTAGGGAGAATGATTCAGAGCTATCAAGTTTGATGGTGTTCCTTTCTGCCATGATGGTTATTAGATTGGTTTCCTTTGATGGAAGGCTAGGAAATATTATTCCTTGCAACTTGTATGCAAGAGAAAAAAAGTTGCATTTTTTTTGCTTTTTCAGTCAAATCTGTTGTGAATTAGAAATGAGATTGGTTCAAAACTATGATGATGAATCAGAGAGTATTAATTTTTGAGTTACTTTACTGTAATGTCTCATTGGGTTTACAATTTGCCTTTTCTCAGTTGATTTACCCCCATGGTTCTCCTCTATGTCAATAGCATTGAAGTCAAGTGTCAACCTTGTAAGTATGCTTGTCCAATATGATTAGGTTTTTAGGTTAATCAGTATTGTTGAATTTCTTCTGTTTGTTCATACTACGTTTCTACACTTTTATTGATGCAAATCGTTAAAAAAATATCAACTCCTGCTTATTTCTTTTGCTTATGCTTCGAACTGCTTGCAGGATATTAGAAGTGTTGAAAAAGTTGCTAAAAGTGTGCTGCCGATGATATGTTTCAGAGAAGGCAGCCTCGCATTGCCAGATGTCTCAAACACTTCATTAAAAGCTATCTTGCAAACAAACATAAAATATTATTTCTTCGATAATTACTAATTTCATCAACCCGAATGACTAGATGTTTTAAGAGATATTCTTATCTTGCAGAACTAGTTTCACTATCTAACAGCTCTTTTGAAGGAGCACAAATACTTCAAAATTCAGAGCAATGTTATCCTGTACCTAGAAATATGACAATGAAGTTGACTAATGAGCAGGTTTGCTATCATTATCAAATATATTTTTTGCCACAGAGATGCCATCCTTACGTTCTTGGAAACATTGGATTCTTGTGTAATTTGTTTAACCGAATCCTTGGGCAAATATTTCACCACATCATCCATTTGGCTTATTTCTAAACACAATCAGGGGTGTGAGATGGTTGGGGTAAACATATTTAGTTTGGCATTATTCCAAAACTTCCTCATTTATTCTTTTATATGTTTTTAATAAACTCAACCATACCATTGGCGTTAACTTTAAAATATGTGTTTCAGATATCTGCCACGGTTCTGTATTTTGGTCTTTTCAATGGTGTTGGGCCTACAAGAACACAGTCGAAGATGGTAATAATACTAGCTCCACTGTTTTGCACCTTACACACGACTTGCTTCTATGTCATTCTTGCCTGTATCATGTGGTTAAGCATATTATTTGCTGATCATATATACCTGTGTTGTTTAATTCACTTCAGAGGAATATAAATGTGTTTTCTTTACTTGTGGAAGATGCTTATAAACTCCTAAAGAACCACATATAGAACTTTGTTGACAGATGGATATTCTAATGGTAGTATATGCATGACAGAAACTTGTTAGATGGTTATAAGGAAATATCCAGATTTGTTTGTGATGCCATATTACAAGTTTTCTCTTCCAAAAGAATCCTTGCTTGTATTTAAGTTTGATGGAACAGAAATCTTCTGCTGAACCCTCAAATTCTTGTTTGGCAATGTTAGCTTTTGCTCCTATTTATCTCATTCTTGTTCTTTCATGCCAGTTTATCCTCTTTGAGAAGAGGCTTTCGTGCATTTGTTCCGTACATTCTGCTAGAAATTGACTTAACAACCACTGCTTTGGCTTGTAGATTGTACGAGGTCCTTCTTACTCCTTTGCGGCCAATATCACCGTGGAAGGATGTGCAACCTCAACAATGCTGGGGCAATATTGCAACGAAACTGTTGAACAGCTTTCATGTGGCCTATCTCGCAATAATTCTGGAAATGGTTCTGCATCTGGGTTCTTCAATCAAAGCATGGTTTCTTGCAGGAACAATTTTGAGACCTCTTGCCTTGGAGATGAAGAAATAATGATATACACCTTAGAGATTCTGCGAATTGCTGAGTTCTTAACCATTTCAGCTGAAAATGTTAGGTTAAGACCTTTAAGTAGCACTGGGGATGTTAGCGGAATTGACTTGATATGCTATGCTCGCTATGGTGCAATGCCTTCAACTACTGTACATGATTATTCTGGTAACTTAAATACATCTCCGTTGGTCGTTAACTCACCAAAGGTTGGTCAGTGGTATATTTCTATTATAGCCCTTAATCTCTCGAAGGTATTTGGTGGGTCTCTAAGTAATGTCTCAAAAGTGTGTTATTCCCTTGAACTGCAAGTGCTTGAATGTCCAATGGGGAAGGCTGGACCAAACCGTTTATTTGAAAGATACATGCTTCAGGTGAGCATTTTCAAGAAATGTGTTATGTGTAGTAGCTATTGCTTGCTTCTTTATAAGTTTTGTTGATTCATTTTATTTTTCCATTTGTTTGAGCTTTATACTCTGATGCTCTTCTGTGAAATTCTGTACTTTGAATAACATCATTCATATATTTGATGATAAAGTAGATGTCAGGTTTGAAGGAAAAAGAAAGAGATAGAAACGGTTTACTTGCTTGTTACATACACAAAACTAAAGATAAGATGACATCGTGAATTTCAATCGTGGGTGATATGACATCGTATCTTGACAATAAGATGTCATGGATTATAACGAGTTTGTCTAAATAATATTTTTTATTTAAATTTATCATTTCAATAAAATATATTTTTTTATTAGGATTTATTACATTGGGACAAAAAACTTAAATAAAAAATATTTTTTATTAAAATTTATTATCTCGAAATGATGTGTTCTCTGTAGCATTTTCCGTAGATTAAAAAGTAAAATCTAAAGTGTCCTATCGAGTCAAATAATTTTGACGCCCTCAGTATTGGGTCAAAAACCTAAAACTTCAAACAAGTTAAGTATATAGCCCAATATGTTGATAAACTGAGAGTCCAATTGGGTTTTTTTGGGGGTCATTTCAAAAAGATTACAGTGATGGATCTACTACTTTTTCTAGAGCGAATATTGAAATATAATTTTTTAGATTTATTTATTTTATTAATGATGTTAATTACAAAAATTATTTATGATTAATTTATTTAAAAGTTTTATATTGTTATTATATATATTTTTCTTGAAAAATAAATTTGGATCCGTCATTAATTATACACTCAAATTGAAAGATTGCTATAAAACGGAGGATTCTCAAAAATTTTAAACCAGTCAAGATGACTCGGAAAATAGAAAACGCACATCGGCCGACGGCGAACTATACCGGATTAAGTTTGACCACAGGGAGAAATTATATTTGACCAAACAAAATAAAACTCTGCTAGAAATAAGATTTATGATACGGCAAACGCAGCACGATTTTGAACAAAGATTTTCCTCTCGCCACGTCACCCAATCTTTAAAAGAGCCCATAACAAATCACAGAATAGGATGAAGATTACGAAAATGCCCTACATTTTCAGACATGAACTAATCATAACGACGCCTATTGGTCTAAGCGACTTAAAAAACCTAAAAAGCAAAATAAGAACACAAATACATAAAAAGGGGAGTCGAAGCAAAATACGATAATTTCAACTAAGTTGTACACAAAAGAGAAAATACAGAATCAAAACCCAGACCTTTTTGTTTTTTGTCCCCCCCCCTTCACATTAGAGACTTCAACGATCTTGCTTTAATGGGCTTTCTCATTCGTTTCTTGCCACTGTCCTCATTCTCGTCGTCATCGACATAATCAAATTCTTCGTTATCATGGATTTGTGAGGAAGACGACAGCGCCGAATTGTTTTGGGAAGTGATAACGCTTCCGTTGTTTTCGACCTCTTTAGGATCAATGCGATTAATCTTTCTGATTCCCTTTACTTCATCTCCTCCGCGTCTCTTTTTCCCCCACGACGGCCCAAACCCAGAATAATAGTAAAATTCATATGGATTCGACGCTGATGACGAGCCTTTCTTTGATGCTCGTGCTCGTAGTCGGCCGCTCACGGTCGGTTGATTGTTGTGATTCCCGGCTTTCTTACTGACACTAATATAATCCCCACTATCGCCGCTGTTGTTGCAAGATTTCAATAGACATGGCTCTTGATAGGATTCCTTATCCTCTTCATCTTCTTCGCATTGGCTCTCGAACCCAAATTGCTTGGCTGATTTAGTCTCATAGTTGTCATTATTATCATCGATAGCCATGCTTCCCACTTTCGTTTCTGCTTCCTCTTTACTCCCCACAATTGTAGCTACGCTGCGTTTCGAGTAATAACGCAACACTTTTCAAGTAACACAAACTGGGTTTTCACTTTCAATAACTAGCCAATCCCATTCAAGGGCATCAACAAAATAAATTATTCGACTATTTATTTAAACGGATACCAAACTCTAATGCAATACCACGATGCAAATTGATAAAGGGGGGTCGAATCGAAGAATATGAAGTAAATTACCTCTCAACAGCACCGATAGAATCGCCAACACTCCCATTTCCATTAAAGCTATCTTCACATTCGAACTGGGTTATTTCAAAAAAGAAAGAAAGAAACCAGTAAACTACGCTAGAAAACAAATAAAACCCCGAATCACGAAATAATACACGGAAACGACGAAGACCCTTTAACCTAAATCGGGTATTTGAAAGAGAAAACACACACGATAATGAGGGGATTTAGGGTTTTGTCAAAACCCTAAATGAATAAGCCCTAAAAGGAAGCAGAAATGTAGACGAACGGAGGCAATGGTGGAGGAGGAGAAAGCAGATCTGCCACAGAGAAACAAACAAGGAGAATAACGGGAGCGATGAGGTTTACCTGGTGATGAAGATGCGAAGGGTACGGTTCTGGAGATAAAGGAATCGCATCCCATGTCGACTGGTTCAGTCGGCAAACGTGAACACCGTCGGGCCTTGAACCTTGCGTGCATATCAGCGACGATAGCTTCTTGTTCTTTCGAATTCTCATGATCTTATTAGGGTATGGATTTAAATGCTGAGGAGTGAATAGAAAAGATAAATAAAACCAGCAAATGGTGTGGAGTAAGAGACAAGGAGAGAAAATAAATGTAAAACGAAACTGAACCCCAGAAAAGAAAAGAAAATCAAAATTATCGAACAAGGAAGTGTTAATTTATCCCTTCTCAGCCTGTCGTTTCTTCCTATGGTGGTGATATCGTGGGTTTTATTATATTTTACAGATCTCAAAGCATCTCTATAATAAAATATTGGGCAAACTATCTATTTAGTCACTCAGGTCACGTAATTATTTTTATTTTAAAAGTATATCTAATTTTATGTTTTATTTTTTATTTTTATCACTCGTCATTAAAAAATAATAATGATGTTGGCGTAGTATTCTTAAACTATTTTTCAACACTATCATGATACTAATTTGTGATGACACATTAGTGTCATTGTTAATTTTTTAATGTGAAAAATTAAAACGTAATATCATTTATGCTTTTTAAAAAATAACAATTAGATAATTAAAATAAAATTAATTAATAGATGAGTGACCAAATGAGTAGTTTATTTACTTTTTTTACTGCTTTCTCGATCTTTTCTATTTGTCGTGGTATTCACTTTAGATTTTCTTTTTCTTTGTTTTGTTCCAGTATAACTTTGGGATAAAAGAATGCTGCCTGTGTTACTAGGATGGCTCAAATTCGACAGGATTCGACCTAATACGATTATTTCATGTTTTTTAAATGGGGTCAGATATTTTAAATGTGATATTTAGGTTGAGTCGAATTCTGTTTTGGGTGAAAAATATTCGATCAACCTGAAAAAAATAATTTTACTTTATATATTTATGAATAATTACAATAATACCCTTATATATATTATTTTTTTCAATTAAATAACAGTTTTTATTGAATAAAAATAATATTTTTTTTATTTCGGGTCAAGTAGGACCGGGTTCGGATTTTATCTCAAAAGTTCGGGTTGGATTGGGTCGGGTGAAGGATGTAAAATTTTTGGGCCGAATTGGCTGAAACTCGACCCATGCCCATCCCTATCTATTACACGTCAGGAGTTGTCTATTTATTTTGGAAAAACAACGTATTTAATATTTAAACTATCAATTTTGATCCGTCGTGAGAAACTACAAAAAGGGATTAATCTATTGAAAGATTATCCAAAACTACAAATTAGAGTCGAGTGTCGTGAGAAACTATTCATAAACGCAAAATCATATACCCAATTTCAATACGAGGGGCCATAACAAGGGAAATTAACATGATTACAAGTAAGTGTCATCTTGATCAGTCGTGACGACAAATCTCACCTCAAGAAAACATAAATAAAAGAACGCCTAAACAACCAATAAATAAAATGAAAAATTTGTCACAAAGGTATAGAAAAATATACCATCAAACAGAGAAAAACATGTCATGAAGATATAGCTACTTTTATTAAAAAAAACTAAGAAACAAAGAAAAAAAAGAATCGACAGATAACAATCAATATCAAAACCGTTGTCTCCACCGACTTATTTACGAATAATATTATATTTCATAACTAAAAATCTAAATATTACATTTCTATCAAATATTTTATCTAAACATAACAAAACCTCATACTTAATTTAATGGTTGGGTATTGAAATCCTTTCCTTAGAGACCTATGTTTGACCTACCACAATTACATTTAATATTTTTCCTAAATTTTCCACTAATGTGTCATTACCTTATTAGAGTAATAATTTTCCAAGAAAAAATCGATTTTAATGACTAAAATAAAATTTCTTAAAGGTTAATTGACCGCTTCTGTAGTTCCCCAGAAATTAAATAACGAAATGAATGGTCTAACAATAAAGTACGATGGCAGGAGAAGGATAGTGACTCAAACGCGCGCGTGAGAGGTGTGTGGCAAATACAAATAAGCTACATAATAAATAAATAATTATCTAATTTTCTATATATTTTTATTTTTTTAATTCTATTGAAATATTTGTTTTTCCCCTTTGAATAAATTTAGGCGCATTTTATAAATAATGCCATTGAATTTAAATTATGGCGAAAGAATTATCATCGTATATAAACTATTACTTTTTTTTCAGTTTGTTCATGTAATAGTTTATGTATTATATATTAATTCATTTATGCACAACCATTTTATTTATTAGGTTGTCCTTTTCATTGTTTCCACAGAACAAAAATACATGGTGAATTAAGATATACCATCCGAAAAATATATATAAAATTTAAAAATAATTCAAAAAAATAAAAAGTATCATAAAAAAATTGTATATTTTGAAATTATACTATTATTTCAAGTACAACTAATCAAGTATAACTTATAATTAAAGTATCATATAAGATAAAAAAAACGAGCTCAATTAAGTATATTTTTCATAAAACGACGATAACTGAACACATCGTTATCATAGATGATTGCAGTGGTCGAGCAATAATTCGGTGAGGGTGGACATTGAAATTCGAATTTTTATCGAGTAGTTACTTATTTTATTGATGGTGTTTATTCTGAAATTTCATTTGTAAACACCCTATTTAAAAATTTTATGCCGTTAATATACGTGTACCTACCATAAAAAATATTTATAAATTCGTTACAGGGTGATTGAGATATATAATATTTTCATAAATATTTTTATGGTGTCTAGCAAGCAATTTTGTTCTTTAAATTAGTCTACCATAAAAGCATGCAGAGTAAATTTTATGCCGTTAATATACGTGTACCTACCATAAAAAATATTTATAAATTCGTTACAGGGTGATTGAGATATATAATATTTTCATAAATATTTTTATGGTGTCTAGCAAGCAATTTTGTTCTTTAAATTAGTCTAATGTATGTTTGGTTATGGCATCTTAAATTTGCTTTTTCCATGGTTCAAATACTTTCGCCCTTCAAGAACAAATAACCAAATACCAAACAGTCCCTCCGAAAGGGGTGGCGCGTTTTGACAGATTCATCTTGCTCGAGCGTGGTCTTTATTTCGTCTCCTTTTGCTTAAATTGACTCGCACTATGGTTTCAGACTTGCAGTCAATAAGTTGGCATCACAAAAAACAATTTCCATTGAAATCTAAATTAGGGACTTTAGTGAACAGTCACCAAAATCCAAATAGCACTTTTGTGATTTTAATTCCTTTGATTTTAAGTTATCTCCTGGTTGCTATTATTATTTATTGGTTCTCTGTAAGAATCACCACAGAAAGAAAATGGCAGAAAATTCGATTCTTTGCTCCGTTTCTAGCTTGATCATAAGTCTTTTCACTCTCTTTTCTTGTTTATTTGGTCACTGCAATTCAATTGAGCAACCTGGTGACTATAACACCTTCACTATATATAGCTTCAAATACCCAGAAACCCAGATCAGACCTTTTGACATGCGTTATATCCGGGGTACGTAAAACTATTTTTCGCGGTCTGTTTTTAATTAGCCATTTCGGGTCAATTACTTTCTTTCCCCCCCCCCCCCCTTAAAGATTTCGTTACAGACTGCTCTGACTAGTGCGTAGTTGTCAAAAGTTTTAACTTCAGCTTAAGCGATTGGATTGCTATTTCTGCTTATTGTTGTTAATTTCTATTTTAGCATTCTTTGATTTTTATCTTAATTGTCTATTGTAATGATGGAAGCAAGATATTAGAATTCTCAGTCAAATTTGATTGTGGGTTTAAGTTTTCTTTCTTTTAACTAAAGTATTATGTCATATTTAATTGTAATTCTGCTGCAGTAGGACTAAGTTAAATTAGCTATAGGGAGAATGATTTAGAGCTATCAAGTTTGATGGTGTTCCTTTCTGCCATGATGGCTATTAGATTGGTTTCCTTTGGTGGAAGGCTAGGAAATATTATTCCTTGCAACTTGTATGCAAGAGAGAAAAAAAAAGTTACATGTTTTTTGCTTTTTCAGTCATATCTGTTGTGAATTAGAAAATGAGATTGGTTCAAAACTATGACGATGAATCAGAGAGTATTAATTTTTGAGTTACTTTACTGTAATGTCTCATTGGGTTTACAATTTGCCTTTTCTCAGTTGATTTACCCCCATGGTTCTCCTCTATGTCAATAGCATTGAAGTCAAATGTCAACCTTGTAAGTATGCTTGTCCAATATGATTAGGTTTTTAGGTTAATCAGTATTGTTGAATTTCTTCTGTTTGTTCATACTACGTTTCTACTCTTTTATTGATGCAAATCGTTAAAAAAAATCAACTCCTGCTTATTTCTTTTGCTTATGCTTTGAACTGCTCGCAGGATATTAGAAGTGTTGAAAAAGTTGCTAAAAGTGTGCTGCCGATGATATGTTTCAGAGAAGGCAGCCTCCCATTACCAGATGTCTCAAACACTTCATTAAAAGGTGTCTTGCAAACAAACGTAAAATATTATTTCTTCTATAATTACTAACCTCATCAACCCGAATGACTAGATGTTTTAAGAGATTTTCTTATCTTGCAGAACTAGTTTCACTATCTAACAGCTCTTTTGAAGGAGCACAAATACTTCAAAATTCTGAGCAATGTTATCCTGTACCTAGAAATATGACAATGAAGTTGACTAATGAGCAGGTTTGCTATCATTATCAAATATATTTTTTGCCACAGAGATGCCATCCTTACGTTTTTAGACACATTTGATTCTTGTTTAATTTGTTTAACCGAATCCTCGGGCAAATATTTCACCACATCATCCATTTGGCTTATTTCTAAACACAATCAGGGGTGTGAGATGGTTGGGGTAAAAAATATTTAGTTTGGCATTATTCCAAAACTTCCTAATTTATTCTTTTATATGTTTTTAATAAACTCAACCATACCATTGGTGTTAACATTAAAATATGTGTTTCAGATATCTGCCACGGTTCTGTATTTTGGTCTTTTCAATGGTGTTGGGCCTACAAGAACACAGTCGAAGATGGTAATAATACTAGCTCCACTGTTTTGCACCTTACACACGACTTGCTTCTATGTCATTCTTGCCTGTATCATGTGGTTAAGCATATTATTTGCTGATCATATATACCTGTGTTGTTTAATTCACTTCAGAGGAATATAAATGTGTTTTCTTTACTTGTGGAAGATGCTTATAAACTCCTAAAGAACCACATATAGAA